GGAAGAAAGTGCACCAAAAAAAAAAAAAAAAGGAACACAGATGTCTCATATAGTTGGGTAGAAAAGAATCTAGACTTTGGTTTTTGGAGCCTGGAGCAGAAGAACCCAGAACCAACACTTTTTTTTTTTTTAACCATCTTAACCATTTTTAAATGTACAGTTCAGTGGCATTAAATATATTCACATTGTTGTGCAATCATCACCACCATCCATCTCCAGAACTTTTTTCCTCTTGCAAATCTGAAACTCTGTATCCATAAGTCGCTAATTCCCCACCCTACCCCCCAACCCCTGGCAATCACCATTCTACTTTCTGCCTCTTTAAAGCTGACTACTCAAGGTATCTCACATAAGTGGGATCATATAGTATTTGTCCTTTTGTGACTGGCTTACTTCACTTAACATAATATCCTCAAGGTTTATCCACGTTGTGGCGTGCGTCAGATTTTCCTCCCCCCCCCTTTTTTGGTGGCTGGCTAGAATGGGGATCAGAACCCTTGACCTTAGTGTTATAACATTACACTCTAATCAACAGAACTAACCCGCCAGGCCTCCTTCCCTTTTAAGGCTGAGTTAATATTCCATTGTATGTACATACCACATTTTGTTTATCTATTCATCTGTTAATTGACATTTGGGTTGCTTACACCTTTTGGCTATTGTGAATATTGCTGCTATGCACAGGGGTTTCCAGATATGTTTGTGTCCCTGCTTTCAATTCTTTCGGATATATACCCAGAAGTGAAATTGCTGGATTATATGGTGATTCTATTTTTAATTCTTTTGAGGAATCTCACACTGTTTTCCACAGCATCTGCACCATTTTACATTCCCACCAGCAGTGCACAAGGGTTCCAGTTTCTACAGATCCTCACCAACACCTGTTATTTTCTTTGTGTGTGTGTGTGTGTGTGTGTGTGTGTATTAAATAATAGCCATCCTAATGTGTGTGAAGTGGTATCTCACTGCAATTTTTTTTTCCTTTTTGTCTTTTTTACTGACCGGTAACGGGCCGGTGTCGCGCCCGTACCGGGGACCGGCAACGGGATCTCAACCCTTGGTGTTGCGCCCGCACCGCGCTCAGCCAGTGAGCGGGAACTGGTCTCCACGTGGGATCCGAACCCTCGGTGGGAGCGCCGCTGCACTCCCAAGCGGTGCACTCTCCAGTGCGCCACCGGGCCGGCCCCTCACTGCAATTTTGATTTGCATTTCCCTAATGACTAGTGACATTGAGTATCTTTTCAGGTACTTATTGGCCATTTGTGTACCTTCTTTAGAGAAACATCTACTCAAGTCCTTTGCCCATTTTTTAATCCATTTGTTGGGCTTTCTTTGTGGTAGAGTTGCAAGAGTTCTTCATATAATCTGTATACTTACCCTTAACTCCTTTCAATGCATCTTTAAGTATCTCCTAAGCTTGACATACTGGGGGTGCTGAACCCAGTGGTTCTCTACCCTCGTGGAACATCAGAATCACCAGGGAACTTAAAAATATATTAATGCCCAGGCCCTTGGTGGCTGTGAATTAATTGGTCTGGGGTGGGGTGTGAATCATCAGTATTTTAACAAATCTCCTTCAGGTGGTTCTTTGATGCATCTAGGGTTGGAAACTACTGCTACAAAGTCTTTGTCCCTTGGGAGGTGCTGCCCTCTACCACTTGCTGCTGAGAAAGTGAGAGGGGATTATGAAAATGAATGACTAGATTCCAGAGGGCCAACCCCAGTGAGAAGCCCTAAGATGTCAGGGTGGCAGTAAAGTAATAGGAAAGGCAGGCCCCCACCCAACTTTGTCACACAGCTCCGCTCTTTTTCAACAAACCCCTTATGAGTCATGCTGCAAACACATCAGAAGGAAACAACCACCCACTGCCCCAGAGAAAGCACAGGAGGGGAAGAAGCAGAGAGGAGCCCTAGAGCTGCCGGAAGCCCAACAAGCAGAATGTGTGTGTACAGAGTGTGGGGTGAGAAGCTGGGAGCCCTGGTCTGCTCTTGCTCTGCCACAAACTCTCCCCATGACTTTGAGGAGGTTTCCTTACTTTCCTGTGCCTGAGAGTCGCCCTGGAAGAGAGGAGACTGGGCCAGTGCTATGGGACTCAATGCCGGCTGTAATTTAGACTCACCTACGGAGCATTTAAAAAATACTGATCCTCAGGCCCCACCCTGGAGATTCTGATACCAGCTATTCTAGGTGGGGCCTGGGCACTGTCATTTTGGAAAGATGCCAGATGATTCTAATGTGCAGCTAAGAGTAAGAACTTTGTTCTAGTGGTTCTTCAAGTTCTCTCTTTGGTGCTAACATTCTGTGGTCCTTCTGCCCCATTTCTGGGGGTGACAGTCGTGGCCTGATCACTCACATAGCACATCACATGGAGAGATATTCCCTGCTTCTCACAGCCCGTGCAGTGCTGACTTGGTGCTCTCTGACAACATTAAGAGGACAGGTTCCCCTCTAGGAACTGAAAAATAAATTGATTCTGATCTCCATGAACCAGGTGAAGCCATCCTTTCCTATTCCACAATTTCTAGAAGAACGTTTTATTCTCAGTCTAGTTGTGCATAACTTATAAGGTATAGTGCCCACTGAGACAAGTCACTGCTAAGAGAAGAAAAGGCCCATTTGCCAGGAGGCAGCCAGCTGGAATGGGAGAAGGAACAGATTATCGGGTCTCTGCTAAGAGGCCAACTCTCTGGGCAGGTTCTGGAGAGGGAGGTGTTTCCCAGCTGGGGCACATGCCTGAGTGCACACTTTCAGATGGGGTCTTGTTAAGGGATAAGAAATGCTTCGTGGAGAATAGACTTAGGTTCTCACCGCTGGGAGTTGGGCACGTCCATATTCAGAGCCCACACGGGTGAGAGGACAGTGAGAGCTCACGGGTTGTCATTTTAAGGCCAAGTATAATTGGCCTATGCCTGGGGAGAGGAACAAACCTGTAAATAAAAAGAGCCAAGGAAGTGGGTGGTGGTACCTTTAAGAAGCCATGCTGATTGGTGGAGTTAGATGGAAAGTTCTATGACGGCCTCCCCCTCTGCTTTCTCTCTTGCCTCTATTTGCCATTCCTGGTCCTCAGCTCCCATTTTTAGTTAAATCTCCACTAATCTGTCCTGTGGTAGAGAGAATGCCCCTCTCTGGAGTTCTTACCCTGCATTCACTCTCACACTGCTCTCTGGTTCTCCGTTTATTCCTGCCAAGTTGCACATGTAGCAGGCCCAGCCAGGCCAGGGGCAGGGAGAGGATACACATTTTACCCAGCCATGGGCTACAAGAGGTCTTAGTCAGGAAGTCTCAAGTCTTCCCTTGAAGCTAAGCCCCTCCTGAGGATGTATGGAAAGTTGGCCTTTCTCAGCAAATGCTGTACTGCTGTCCTTGGTTCTGTCTCTGTAGATGGGGTGTCTGGACTTGCGGGAGTTTGTAGTTATTTTGCTGGAGAATCCATGACAAGTGGTATAATAACTATAACTTATCATGACAACTAAGGTACACTGAGAGCCAAATGCCGTTGTATTTTTTACCTGTTGCCTCATTTACCCTCACAGTAATCTACCCTCTGTGTACCCCACTTTCCCCTTGGTGAGACTTCAAACAGAACTGTATTCCTGAGTTTCTCTGATTTTCCTCTTCCCTTCCAGTTGGCTACTTCCAAGGTCTGAGAAGCTGCAGCTGCAATTACAAATTCCCACAGAACTTCCTCACACATCCCTCCTTACTCCTGAGAAAAGGCAGTAAAGCAGGCAATGGATAAACTGGGAATGGGGCTCAGGTGTGTCAGAGGGGGAGAATCAGGGGGACAGTTTTAGCATTTTTCTCCTGGTGGACAAAGCCTAGGAGGCTGAATGGAAGGGTCGGCCGGTACAATGATGCAGCTGGCTACCGCCATCTAGTGGAAGAAAGGAGGAAGGCAGGCTTCAGAGCTAGACCAGATGGAATTCCAGAAAACAGGAATGTTTCGAACGTTTAATAAGCCCATAGTAACTCTCAAGAAGTCTGCACAGGTCTCCATGGTGACCCTTGTCCCTGCCTCCTGACAAAACAAGGTCCCTTCCATCTTTCTTTTCATGAATAGATAGCACAGGTCTGCATAGAAGGCATCCCTGATGCAGATAATCTGACCAGTTACAAAAATAAGATCAGAACTAATACCTGGCTCTGTGTTGCCCTCTGAGCCTCAGTTTCCTCAATGTAAAATGCATGACGTCAAGGCCCCTGCCAATCCTGACTTCTCAAGTCATGGTTCTCACATGTGAGCGTGCATCAGAGTCACCTGAGGGCTTGTTAAAACTCAGACTGCTGGCCCACCCTAGCTTCTGACCCAGGAGTTCTAAGCATTTGCATTTCCAACAAATTCTCTGGGGATGCAGATGCTGCTAATCTAGAGACCTTGTAGAATCACTGTTCTATGTAATTTAGTCACCCTGTGTAAGAAAAGGTGAACAAGCATGCAGAGAGAACACAGAGCTTACATTATTAGAAGCCAAGGCCACAATAATTCATCTGTCAAGGGCATATGAATGAGTTGTGGGTCTCAAACCCCAGCAGGGCTGAGGGGCAGGTCAAACCAGACTCAGTCATGGCTTGCTTCCGGGTCTGCTGCATGCCCGTGTGTCAGCATAAGTACTTGGTGGGCGGCAGAGAGCCAGCATTTGCTGTGGAGGGGACAGTGGGTCAATGGAGAAAGGAGGTGTCTAGGCCATCCTTGGCCACAGGTAGAAGAAGACTTTTCTGAATGTGGTGTGATACGATGGGAAAGCAAGGCACCTCATTTGACCTTCATTTTAAGGTTGAAACTGACTCAAAGTTTAAATGACTTTCCCCAAATCACACAGCAACTTGGTAGCTCTTTCTCTTCAAGTTCCTAACCCACTCTCTTCACAACCAGATCCCAGAGAAATCCCACCAGGTGCAAATGGGTTAATGAGACAGGTCAGTGCCATGCTGCTCTTCATTTAGAGTCAGGGCCAGCATCCCTTCCTGGCCCATGTCTCCTCCCCCTTGTTCTCCCTACCTTTCACCAAGGGGAAGAAGCAGTCCATCTCCACGCTGCTTCGGGAATGGGAGATGCACAGGGCGCTGCTGGGGACCAGGCCCTCCTGAGGGGGACTCCGTTCTGTGGTGCGGACCAGACACCAGCCGGGCCGCTCGCTGGGCCGCTCCAGCAGCTCCACCGTCTGCCCCACCTGGATGGTCAGCTCGCTGCTGTGGCCCGCGCTGAAGTCCTGGAGGACCACAGTCAGTTCACATCCGCCAGAGAGCTGTGTGGCAGTGGGCAGGAGAACGTGAGGGCATGGAGGAAGGAGGGGAGAGTACGGGAGACAGCGGGCAAGAGAGGGAGGGGACCAAGGACGTGTGAGAGCAGAGAGGAGGAGGATGGGAATCAGGGCAGAGAAAAGGCAGAAGATGGAAAAGAGGATTGGGAAGAGGAAAGGAAACAAGAAAAAAAGTAATTAGCACAGCACCATTCAATCACTCAGATGTCCTAGTTGCAGCCACAGTGTGCAGCCTGCCCAGACCCAGGCTGTGATTCTAATTCCTTCTTGCTTTATTAGAGTTCTTTTCAATGTTCCTTTGCCAAGCTTCTAGCTAATTGTGCCTTGAACCCCTTCCCTATGTCCCTTTAGTCCTTCCCAGGGCTCCACCCCGTGCCCTCCTGGCCCCCACTGCCAGCCCTCAGACTCTGTGGTGGCCTCTATTGCTAACTCACGCACTCTCACCTGATTCTACTTGATTTCTGGGAATAATGGAAGAGACACCTCCCTTCCTTCTGACCCCTGAGACATCCTCTATCCCCACCCCTCACTGGGGCCAGCAGCCTAAAACAGAGGCTGTAAGTATTCAAAAAAGAATGAGGCTTCCACCCAAAGGCAGAAGCAAAATGTGGTCTATCTGGGAGGGAACAGAGTTGTTTCACAGTGGCCCAGCTGCTGGAGACTGGGGCAAAGAACAGGAAGGGAAGAAGAGGGGCCACATCTTATTTAGGAACACACACCTGCCCCTAGCACGCCACACCACCTTCTCCAGGCCTGAACTTCCCTACTGCACTGATCCTAGGGCAGAACCACTAAAACAGGCTGAGAGACCCTGGAGACGGGAACAACCCCTACTAGCTGAACGTTGAGAGTTTTCACTTTTTCACCTGGGTGTTTGGCCCCACTTTCCCCCCTCTCCTCTGGCCTCATAGCTCCACGAGTACCCATTAGGTTATTAGTTTGTCTCACAGAATGAAGCATAGTCTCCCTCCTGGAACAGCAACTGCACTTAGGGGCAGAGTGGGAGGCAGGGGAGGGAAGGAATGAGGAGGCTGAGAGGCCCAGCTCGCCAGCCTGTTATCCTTGATGTTCACCCCACAGAGCGGTTCAGAGGGAAAGCCCCTGTACTACCTCCAGGGAATGCGACTTCGGTCTGTGCATCTCTGATTTCAGCCTTCAGGATCTGAACTGTCTGCACCAGCAGCTACATTAATACACTAGTCCAAATATGTTGTCTAGCTATTACGCACACATTCTGGGAAGCTTCTGCCGAATAGTAAGCACACTGAATGTCACAATGAGTAGGGAATCAACAGTTCCACCAGGATCAAAAGTTCAGCTTTTAGGATTCTGAGAAATTTCCATTAAAGGGACTCGAACATCAAAGTGGGCTTGAAAAGGTTAAAATGACACATCAGAGTGATGCTGGCAATATGCATCACCCCAATCACAGAGCAGGAAGTCTGTGCTAACCACATTCCCATGGTTGGGCATAGTACTGCTATCAGGATTGGATCAGGAAGGGAAATCTGCAGGACAGAAGGTGGAAGGTGGAAAGAGACAGAATAAGAAAAAAACATGCTATTGGCTCATTTGTTCCATTTAACTTTCTTGGTCCTATTAAATGCACAGCTCCCACTCCCACACTCTCCTGGTGCTATCTTCCCCAAAACGTCATTTAGAGAAGGATGTTGTGGCTGAAGCTACTGGTCCTTTGCTTGGCCTATGTCAGGTCTCTTAAACTTTTTGGATTGTAATCCTCTGTAAGAAATACCTTTTATATTTTAACCAGTGTACACTACATATGAATAGATATATCATTGAAACACATGCTTCACATGGACATTCTATTTCATTTTTTTCAATTGCTAGTGACACCCCATTAACTTGATTCCACCTCCCACTTTTTTTTTTTTCCTTTTTGTCTTTTTTTACTGACCGGTAACGGGATCACAACCCTCAGTGTCGCGCCCGTACCGGGGACCGGCAACGGGATCGCAACCCTCGGTGTTGCGCCTGCACCACGCTCAGCCAGTGAGTGGGAACCGGTCTCCACATGGGATCCGAACCCTCGGCGGGAGCACCACTGTGCTCCCAAGCGGTGCACTCTCCAGTGTGCCACCGGGCCGGCCCCCACCTCCCACTATTGAACTCTTTGTAGAACACTGGTCTAGATGACCACGAAAGTTCCTCCTAACACTGAGAATTTCTATAGCTGAGCTTCTACGCCTCCATGGAGCTCTTCCTTTAACACCACCAGGTACTGCGCATTCTTTCCCAGGTGATCATCACACACATGGCTGGAGATGCAACTTGCAGCCCTTTCAGGGCAACAGTGGTTGAGTCCTGGGATGGGTGTGGCCCTTTTGCAGATTGTTGAGGCAGACCAGAGGGTGCCTGAGGCTCTGGTTGCAAACAGCCCAGTGTGCCACTTAGATACAAGGTCCACTGCCCCCAGGGCAAGTTACAACCAGATCTGGGCAGGGTGGAGGGTAAAAGGGTGGAATGGGGGTGGGGGCGGGGCAAAAGAGGATAAAGAGCCAGGGTTCTGTGTCTCTACAATTCAAGATCCAGTTCCCAGAGGAAAGCCTGGACATACCAGTAGATGGCGGTGTTTGCCTTCTGTAGGCTGCCCAGTCCAGACAGGCAAAAGGAGGCAGCAGAAAGATGACCAAAGGGCAATTTATCACACCTAATAGATAACCACACTCAAGCTTTAGATCCAGCCAAAAAACCCATTATGGTTCAAATACAGGATGAATATTCACCTCACCTCAATGGCTTTGTTAAACTGATTTACTACACCAGGTACACACCCATGGCAAGAAGGGAATTCCAGAGTGGCTGCCGAGGGAGTTGGTCTGGAGAAATGGATGAGTCAGTGGTCAGGCAGGGCTGCCCCTGAAACAATTCCTCCCATCCTCTCCCTAGAGCAAGATGCCCAGGGGATTTGAGGCTCACACCTGAGAAGCACTGCCTCAGGGAACCCAAGACTGGAATCAGCATCAGAAAGTCCCAAGAGCCCCTTCCAGTAGGGTAGAGGCTGAGGGAAAAGGGCCAAAGACCTCTGAGGGGTCTGAGCACACTAAAGAGACTTTTACTTGTAATGCTTAAGTGTGATTCTACCATGCATCGTGTTTTAAGCCTCTCCTTGACTGTGATGAGTCCCACCTAATGAAAGTTAATTACACAGATCGTGCCCCTCATCAACCAATAAAATCCGAATTCCCTCACTGATACCAAACTATCAGTTTCTTGGAAATGCACGTATTCGTTTTTCTTTCTGTCCAGGTCGGGTCCTCAGTGTATGTCAGCAGGTCTCCAGTTTCACAAAGCCCAGGGATCATTATTTTTTCTTCTTCCTTTTCCCATTTCAAAAAAACCAGTGAAGGCATCCCACTTTCCTTGTTTCTACCCCCTTGCCGCCTCATCCCTTAATCCTTTTTGGTGGCACATTTAGAAAGCCCCCATTTATCTCTCTAAGTCTCTGTTCCCAGGAATTTAAATCAGTTTTATCCTGTTGCAGAAAAATGTTGCAAAAGACATCTCTGTTTTGTCCTAGTTCTTTTCTTCCCCAAAGCCTATTAAGAACTGTTTTAATGTCCTCCCTTGCAAATTGCTAGATTTTTATTTTGTATTTCTCAGCATCTTCGTTTTTTACTTTTCCCTATTAGACATGCAGAATATTCCTCGCATTTGGCTTTGTATTTCACATCTTCTTTTCAGAGATGACCCCTTTATATTTTCTAATTTTTCTTTTTCTGGCAGAGCTTTCCTTCCCAAAAGTCACTCCACATGGGCTGATGCACCATACAGCTTGCCTCTCACTTTCCCCTGCTGACTTATTAACCACTGAGACATAAACAAGGAGCTGGACGACCATCCCCCCGTGTATCCTCCTTGCCTCCCTACTGGCTTTGTCTTCTGACCTCCTGATCCCTCCCTGGGGAGAACCATTTGCCCCTGTCTCAATTTCCTCTTCATCTCCCACATACTGACATTTTAAAGGCGACATTTTTTTTTCAATTGTCAATTCCTTGAACACCCGCTTACTCCTGAGTACGCCTTCTCCCTCATCGATTTCTGTTCTCACTTAGAGGCCTCTTTCCTCCCCTCCCCTGTCCATTCTCTCATTTTCATGGCTGTAAACTCCGATTCCCTTCATAATTTCCTCGGTGCCTCTGGCCCCTTTGCAGGCTTTAACTCCCTTGCTCCTCGTCCTGCTGCCAGTGATCTGTCCACGGATATTGCACAAGGCTCAGCCTCACCTTTCTCACCCATGGATTTCACCTTTAAGTCGTCCCAGGTAGATTTTATGCACAGGTAACTTGCTGACTGTCCCCTCACGTTAAATATCTTTCTACTCACTATTGAGCTTAGTTATGCTAGTCCTCGAAAACCACAGACCCATACGCAGCTCCTCTCTTCCTTTAAATGTTTTTAAAGAGAAAAGCAGACCCTGCAGGGCAGACCCTCTTTATCCACCTAAATGTAAGAACTCTACTTTTCTCTCCTTTGGCAGGGTCCCTGATTTCTCTAAGGTCATCCACCCAGAAGTCTTTTTTTGTCTCTTCAGTGATGCTCACTTGGGTCTATTCTCTCAATGCACAATGTTCCCATTTAACAGGCGTCCTCTGGCTGAAACCAGGGGGTGTGGAGGGAGGCACCCATCCTTCACCACTGCAGTGTCAGATGTGACTCCCTGGGCACCAGGAGACACTATCACACCCCGTTCAAAACACAGAGGCCATATCATATTTCATTGTACATATTTTTACCACCTGTTATGGATGCTTAACTTTCAAACTATCAGTTAATTCAATCCTACTCCATATTCTAAGACCAAACTTTTTCCTACTCAGGGAAATGTTGGGAGTTGAGGTGGTAGCTCGGAATCTTAGCATGAAGTCAGATGTGTTTCTGAGTCTTCCCTGACCTTGTACCTCTGGAATCTTCTTCCATTTATCCCCCTCACTGTATCCCCAACTCCAGCATTGATTCCGCCT